ATTGCAAGGAGAAAAATAGCTGCAACTGTAGAAAAAATAGGTTTAAGATATTGGTATGATAAAATCTGCTGTTGTTCATTGCATTAAAACAGTTCCGTTCTGCGTATCTACAGATGGAAGTAATAATTCTGATTCAAAACTATATAAAATTGTTCCTTTTTTTTAGAAATCCTGAGTCTTCAAAAATTGAGTGTTGTTTACTTTGTGTCCCCACCTCAGAAAGAGGTTCAGCAGGCTTTAATATATAGCATGGATAATTGCTTATAACTTAGTTTTGACAGTGCACCAGGAATAGTAAAACTGATGATAGCTTGAAAACTTATGTTGCAGGCATCTTAAATAAAAGAAAAAAAAAAAAAAGAAAATTCAGTTCTTCAAATTAGGAGATCCACCTGTCACCTTAAATTTAGCAGTTTAAAAAGGGTCAACATCTTTGCCAATAAGTGTGGATGAATGCCTTGTTGATATTTACTATTATTTTTAAAGGTTTCTAAAAGGAAGAAGAAATTGAAACAATTCCAACAGCTGCTTAATATTGAGATAAGAAAGAATCTGAAATATGTATGTATGTACATACACACTGGTTATCTGTAAAGAAATATTTATCTAGAAGCCTTGACCGGTAGAACCCTCTTCTTACATTTTTTGAGGAAGAAGTAAATGCTTCTGGAGTTAGAGAAAAGGTTGTATTGAAAGTTATAATGTACCTTTTAAGTAAATGAATATGTGGTTATTACTTCCACTGTTAAAATAGGTGCGAGAGAAATTTAAGTAATTTCTGCACCTGTGAGCAGTTGGCAATTCTCAAAACAATACTAAAAAATATAAGTGAAACCTTCCAAAATAATAATAAAAAATCGCCTGACAAGAGACACATTTTCCGATTGCTGTAAGTGTATCTTATGAAGAATGAATATTTGTATTTTTGTCTTTTGACCTTAAAAAAGCTTTTGTTTTCTTGTGCGCTCTATTCTCCCAACATTAGATGGTCTTAACACAATTCTACAGAAAAGAATTCCATTAATTCTTAGTTTGCAATCAGTGATTAGTGATCTGGTTAAAGTATTATTTAATGATATAAGGAAACTGGTTAGAGTATTTTTCTGTTATTAAAAGGTACAAGTAATAATACTTTTTTTACATTTAAGTATGTTTGTATTATTTGAATTTAAGAAGTAATTACTGAAGTTTCAGATAGTAATTAATTTCTGTTTAAAGTTAATTCATTATGAAAAAGTATATTTTTATTTAAAAATCTTTCAGTGTTGAGAAAATTCTCATTTTTGAGTGTCATATGTTGGAAAGAGGCAAACATCTTTAACTATTTAAATGAAAAGAATTAATCGATAAGAAATTACAAAGAATGTAGAAGAAAATTTTAAATTTTGTGTACATACTATATAAATGCTCAAAGTGACTGCCATTGGTAACACAGACAACATCTAAACAGTAGTCCATTTCATGCCATATGTTTCTGAAGCATATCTGGAGCTACCAATGGAAGTGCATTAGCAATGCTCATTTTGAGTTCTGGAATTGTTTTCGGGAAAGGAAGCGCATACACCCTGCTATTTAATTCTGTGGGGTTCTGTGAAAGACCTTGTGTATTTGCTAGTCTGTGGTGTAGTAATATTGTTAAACATGAACCCTTCACAGCTGAATGTGGAAACATTAATTGTTCTGTACTTATATTAGAATGTATGGCTATGTTTTCATTATTATCTCTATTAATAATAACCCCACTGTAAAATATTTTCAGTGCTCTGAAGCGCTTACATTTATTATCACCATATTATGAAATTAATGCTCATTAAAAAGAACGTAGTTTATGGAAGCTGAGGAACATTCTGAAAATTATTCTATAAATTTAATGTAGTTAAACCCTGCTATGACAAACTTCAACACGCAAAAGTTGCTTCTCTGTATCTAACAAAAAGAAGGGGAGGTTTCCCTCACAAAAACGTGTAAAAATTAACTGATGAATTCCACATACATAACAAAAACTGATAAATTTATTGCATTTACCAGAAGTGAATAATAACATATTTAAAAGCAATTATTAATTTTAATTTTATCTCTTTTTCAGTTTTGCCTGTGTTATGTTACACATTGAATTACTTAAGATAAAAATCATGGGTCTGTTGATAATTTTATCCATATAAAATGAATTGCCCAAAATAAAATTCAGTTTATGCCTAGTTTCTGGAATTCTTTGTAGATTTTGGGATTTACGTGTATTTCTGTCTAAAAATTGACTTTTATCATTTTTGATTCTCCAGTTTCTGATTAGAAACACTTATGAATGACGAAGGTCGTAGATTTGGCATTTGCTGTATTCGCAAGGAAATTGCAGCATGTAACAACATCATGATTGCATGTTAAATAAAGCTCCACATCGCATTTTGGAAATATTGAAATGGCTTTTTTTTACCCTAGCCTTTTGTCAGTAGGCAACTCGCCATTTTTATCGTTTTCCTGTTCAACTAACTTGCTTTGCTAGACCAACATTCTGAAAATACTTTCAGCTAGTTGATTCTGCAACAGGTTGATGAGTTTTTTCTAGCACTAGCATTACATGAAGAAGTAAAGCATTATTAGATTAACTGTATGCTTCCATAGTGCTTAAAACAAGCTACATTCTGTTAACCACTTGCGCTATGACTAAACTTCATGGTTGCGGTGCCGTGCGCTACAGTATAACAAGAGGTAAAGTGTCTCATTTACGCCTCTCCGCGTCTGCGAGTGTAGTCCAGAGCTGTAACTCGAGAAATAAACAATCTCGTTGTTAGGCGACGTGTGCACCATGTAATTTTCGCTTTGCGATAAATGCCTATTGACATGGTGTTCACGCCGCTTGCGGTTTGAGACAAAAGCATCTTGACGTGTGTGGCACGTCTTTTTAGCTCAAGTGGTTAAGCTCCTTCAAGTTCTTGGTCCATAAATTGGGAAGATTGAAGTTGTATTCAGAGGCAAGGAAGCAGCCTTAATCTATTCTAAGCTTCTAAAATACCTCGATCAGGATCTTCGCCTTTTGGCCAGAAGGTCATACTATTTTCATAGCTGTTCCTTGAATAACTCCGATATCAATCATATCTTACAGTTAGGAAACAAGTTTTCACCCTTTTGTTTTTGAATATCTTTACTTTTACGATTTTCCATTTGCCTTGCTTAATGCTATTATGCTTGCAAATATACTGTGGGCTCACATTTTTAACAGTTTTTTTGTTAGGGCCTCTTTGGTCTGAGAGACTGAGATCCTCCGCACTAAAAGCAAGTGCAGAAAATGCCAGATAACTTCAGTAATAAAATTAATTTATTTCTTTAATTAAAATACGCATTAAACATAGCATGTATTGGTTAAAATTTTATTTTCTTGTACAGAGGCTGTTATCACATTTTTTAGACTATCTTGCTTTGCTGTAAAAAAGTCATCTTCTGGTTGGAAATTTTTTTTAACTGCAGCTGTATTTTTGAAATTATAAATTATCGTCTGCTACTTGAGAGTTTTGTTTTCATGCAAAATTTCACTTTTATGGAAGGCTATGTTTGTGTTCTTTCCAAAGAAAATTATTCGTATCTATTTATTAAAAAGTGTTGTGATAGCTATTGTTTATTGATATCTAAAGTTACGATAAATAATGTCAAAAACAAAGGTGAAAAACATCAAAGTTTGGCTTCAAAGAGAAAACTTGCTCATATACATATAAAAGGAAAAAATAGAATGTTTCAAATGCTGCAAACTTAAGAACTGTAATGCTAAAATAAAATCTGTGAAGTCAAAGGACAGCTGCAAAATCATTAAAATGCTTAGTATCCATTGTAAACAAAGTGATTAATGCTGATTTGAATCTTAAAAAGGCAAAAATACGTAATGTGCATCAGCTTTCTCCATGATATATCGCAGAATTTTCTATCAGAAACATTTATTTGGACAAAAATGTCACAATAGATAAATCATGGGTGTAATTAAATGACTGTAATAAAAAGAAATCCTTTTATTATCATGAAGGAGGAGAAAAAATTCGTGTACATGGTTAGAGGCATCTGAAGAATGTTTATTTCCAAATATGAAATATGTTTTCTTCACACACAGTGCGATCAATCAATAGAATTGCATCAAGACAAAGCAAGCAGTGACACATCAAAATCTGCTGTTAATTTCCTGCGAAAAATGGAACAAGAAACGGGTATGAAGGCCACTCATATCCCCACTAAATCTCCTAATCTGTCATCAATGTATTTTTGCACTTTTGGATTTTCAGAAAGCAGGTTGTTCAAATGTTGACTTAAACCTCCCAATACTTTGTAAAGCTGTTCGAGAGCAATGGGATAAAATACCTCTTCTGATACTACAAAAGGCTTTATTTTCTTGGAAATTACAGTGTATAAAGATAGCGAAGAATAAGGGTTATGAAATAGAACTTTTAGGTAAACTGATTCTGTAATTACAGTGAAAATCATCTAAAAATGTGTGAAGAGCCTCTATATAAGAAAATATTGCATTGAAATTTCATTTCTAAGCATTGAAATTTCTTTTTATTGAAAATTAAACAAGTGTTACTGGCAGTCATTGATTATCAGAATTCTGGGGCTGATCGTATATACCAGCTTCACTTTAGTGGAGTTGACTTACTTAAGGTCGTCAGATTATACCAATATAATTAACTGTTTTATTTTGATTCAACTTTGATTTCTTGTTATTTTGTAATGGATTTTCTGAATAATCTGAAAAATTTATCACAAAATCAAGATTATTGGATAAGAATTATATATATATATATATAATATATACACATACTATATTATGTTTAAACCAGACAAATGCATGGTGATCTCAAGCATACAGTGTTCCATATCTTGCTACTGTAAATTATTCTGTTGATTTTTATTTGTATTTATCTGGTCAGATACAATTTATTTTAGACATTTTGGAAGTATATTTTTATATCCGAGGGTATTAATGTGTGTTTTGAAATTAAATTTTTTTCTCTATTTTATAGTGGTTCTGTGGATGCTAATAATCAGCTAATAATCAAAGGCCGATTTCAACAAAAGCAAATTGAAAATGTCTTAAGACGTTATATTAGTGAGTAATATTTTTGATAGTTATATTTATAGCAATAAAAATTAATAATTTAGTTTAAACTCAAACTAGAATTATTAAATGTGAATTTGGGTAATGCATAATAGGCAGTTTAGATATGTGTCACTCGCTACCATGATAACTTAGTATTATGTAATTTCATGTTCTTGTTAAGTAAGAAGAGAGGAAATATTGAATAACTAAGCATTTCTTTCAGTTTATCAAGTTTTCATCTTGATTTATTTAATTTTGATTTTGAAATCTGTTCTGTTCATACAGCCTTTGCCTGTATTCTTGTTTAACCTTCTAAGCAGCATGATCCGGTCCTGAGACTTTTTGTCACTTGGTAGTATATTAGCTTATATTTTTAAGATATTTGCTTTTTTATATTCTTTGGTAATCTAAATGTCATTTTAATGAATTAAGTTTATTAAAATACATACTAAAATAAGTAATTATACAAATCTAGCTAATAAATGCTGTTTAAATACAGGTTTTTATGACAGATTAAAAATCCATGCTGCTCAGAGGGTTAACGAAGCAGATGCCTGGTACCTATACTGAAGGCGAATCGTACCAGAAAGTCAGAAGAGTAAAATACATTTTATGTACTTTTGCCAAGGAGTAGCATTTTAACAAAAAATCATTATCCCTAATAATCATCTTGAATTTCCAATATTGAAGCATAATTCATAATGTATACTGCTTGATGCATTAGATTAAGCAACACTAAAATTCAAATGCTTAGATGTAGCTTATTCCTATATGCAAAATTTATTAGCAGACAATTATTAGATTATTACTTTATTTACGCATAAATACAGTAAACATATTACAGTTCACCATAGCATGCATGTGCAGGGAGAGGCAACCTAATGTCTGTGAACATGTAAACTGCTCTGTCTTAGATTTTTTTGTAGACGATCCATCTAGCTGATGTGCCCATGAAGTACTCAAAATTTCAGAATTTCATAAAATTTGTTACTTCTGAATTGCTATCACCTTTGGTTAAATAACTGATGATCATGTGTTTTCTAAATACAACATATTGACTGTAATCCGGCTGATTATCAGAGTTGCCAACTCTTCCGATTTTCGACCGCTCTTCTGCAAACCCGATTTACAATATATTTCTCCCGACTTTTTCTTATTCTTAAAATTTCTCACGAATTTTATGGAACTTAGCTTAATACTTCTTTACATGAACACACACACACACACACACACACACACACACACACAACACAAAAAAAAGTGATTTTGAACATCTGAAAGCAACTTAATTTTCTCTAGATTATATCTAAAACAAAACCTTGCAAATCAGATGAGAACTGCTTTGTGAGTGACTTGACTTGTGTCGAATGGAAACAAAGTGACAGCGCGCTTTTACTCTACATCAGATAAAATAATGTCTTTATAACATAAGGATGATAAGAAGAATCGAGATGGTAGAATGGGATATTTCAACTTAGCCACCATCAGTCGGCGAAGAAAGATGTAATGAATGAAAATAGACAAGCAATGTGAAAAAAAAATGGATCAGTAAGATAGTAAGTACTTCAAATAATTAACAAAATGTTAGGTAAGAATATCAGAAAGATATTTGTGTTTTTCTCTATGAAAAGGTAAGCATCGCAAAGAACTCATACAGCAGTTTGAATGTAATTAGTACAGAAAGGAAAAAGTTTGTTGCAAGTCTTTTAATATAAATTTGTGTAGTATCAATTTGAAGATCTCTGTGAATGTATGAATTTCATATGAATCGGGGTGCATTAATAATTTCACGAAGGGTTTTTATTTTGAATAACTTAGATCTTTTTTATGTGGCTTGTAGCGGCGTGTCTCCATACTGGACTGGCGTAAATTAAAGAAGGTCTAAGGGTGGGCTTGTATAAAAGAAGTTTATTGTTGATAGTCAGATTGCTGTGTCTGCCGAGGAGAGGATGCATAGTAGCTATTGAATTTCCTGACAGTTTCGTGTAAATGTTGCTGAAAAGCGAGTTTTTTGTCAAGTGCTACATTGAGGTACTTCACTTGATCCGTCCACTGAATATCATCGTCAAAGATGATGGGATTAGGCGGAAGGAAGTTTGTTTGTCCTTTTCTGAAAATAATGGTTTTGGTTTTGTCAGTGTTAATGGCAATTCTCCACAGCATCATAGTTTTCAAGAAGTTCCAAATACTTTTGCTTTGTAAGTGAGAACATGTACGTATTCAGAAACGTTCTCCATTTCTCCAATGGGCATCGAGCTCCACTGCGTGTCATCTGGCATATATTAGCTGATGAGCACAAAGCAAGCTCAAGGCTGTTATTTGGATTTATGTCTGCGAGAAAGGTGAAATACTCGTGTATGTTTCAAAAACTGTACACAGTTGACTTTCCTTCCATTATTTCCTCAAGGAAATGTAATAAATTTGCGATGTGTACTTTCTGTCATTGCGATTTTTCGATTTCGCATGGTGGAAGGGCGGATGTTCTCAAACATGTGAGTACACAAAACACAAGGACAACATAAGTTATTTTGAAAAAAACAAAAAATTAAAATTTTCTTCGGAAACAAAGGACCAAAAATTATTAATGCAGAATGTCTGTTCTCTGGCTTTTTACTGGAGCACAGCCTGCCACTGAATGCGTCGGGTCACACTGCAGCTTTATTTAGAAAAATGTTTCCCGATAGTGAAATCGCTAAGAAATACTCAAGTGCAAGGACCAAAACAGGTGCAATTGTTAAAAAAATGGGTTTGAAAAGTAAATCTTTAGTTATTTATTACATTAAAACAGCTTCATTCTGCCTCTTTATGGATGGAAGTAATAATACTGATTTAAAACTGTATCCAATTGTTGTTTCTTTTTTTTAATTCAGAGTCTTCAGAAATTGAGTGCAGTTTACTTTCTGTCCCCACTTTAGAAGGGCATTCGACAGGCTTTAATATAGCACAGCTAATTATTAAAAACCTTAAAAAAAAATGCAGTCCCTCTGGGCTTAGCACTTGGTGCCGTTAATGCACCAGTAATGGTAATCTTGAAGACCGGTGTTGCAGGCATCTTAAGGAAAGAAAATTTAGATTTGCAGATTATGAGGTGCACCTGTCACTTCTTAAATTTAACAGCTGAAAAAGGGGCAACTTCTTTATCAGTAAATGTGGATGAACACATTGTTGATATTTATTATTATCTTGAAAGGAGTTCTAAAAGGAAGGAAAAATTGAAATAGTTCCCAACAGCTGCATAATACTGAAATGAGAAAAATTTTGAAACATGTGTACACACTGGCTGTCTTTAAAGAAATGGTTATCTAGTATCCTCGATCAATGGAACCCATTTCTTGCATTTTTTAAAAAAGAAGTAATTCCTTCTAGAGTTAAGATAAAAGGCTCTATTGAAAGTTATAAAATACCTAAAGTAAATGGAGATATTGTTACTACTTCCATTGTTAAAAATAGGTGAGAAAAAGTATTTTCTGCAGCATTCAGCAACTAAACTGGCAGTTCTCAAAATAATACTGGAAACTATAAGCGTAAAACTAACACAAATTTCTCTCAAAAAAAAAAAAAAAATTGCTCAACACATGAAACATTTTCCGAGTAAGTTTATCTTTTGAAGAACGGATATTTATGTTTTTTCCTTCGAACCTTAACAAGGCTTTTTTGCTTTTTTTTAATTATTTTATTTAAAAAAATTTTTTTTTAACAGTTCATTTTGCCATCATTCGATGTTTTTAAGACAGTTCTACAAAGCGGATTTCCATTAATTCATGTTTTGCAATCAATGATTAATGATCTGTTTAAAGACATTTTATCAAAGTTTGTAAAACCAGTCTATGTTTTGTCTTGTAATTCTATATATGGTGTGATTTATGGTGAAATAGAAAGTCAGAAGAAAGATGATTTGGTAATTGGAGCTGCAGCTACAAAAGTAGTGGAAGAACTTTCAGAAGACAAAAATAAGTTTTATCTTCATGTTAGATATTACTATGGATAATCCCTTCAGCAGGGAAAAAGTATCACACTGTCCTCCTAGAGGAAGTACATCATCAGATGACAACCATAACGTGGTCTACCATAATAAGCTGTTTCTCCCCTTTTTGGTGTTAAGGTTAAGGCTGTTCTCCGAACAATATCCGTTACTTCTGTCGAGTATGTGATTACATACTACATAAATTTCCAGTCAACAATGAAGTGATTTTGCATGCTAAAGTTGCTGATGTTTCTGCACTAGCAAATGCATCTTTGTCTGATATAAGGTACTTTTTGAACAGATTTCCTGTGTTACTTCATTTAGTCATGAAAGATTTTATGATATTGATGTTGCCACTGATATTATTGCAGTCGCAATTTTGCAGGTTTACAATTAGAAAACTTGGATGAAGTTATAAAATCAGTTAGGATTGATACACCTAGTGGAGTTTAATTGGAAAACTGAAAGGTGCAGATGGAATTTAAAAATATAGTGAACTGTCTAGAAGTATGTTGGCCATCTTGACAGTTTCCCCATAGTAATGCAGAGTGTGAGAGACGATTTTCAGTGTTGTTACGAAAACGAAGGAACTAAATTTAGATCTAATATTAGTGATGACACATTAGAAAAACTTTTATTAGCGAAAGGAGGTGTATGTGGCAATTGCTATGAACAAAATTATGAAGTTTCTTTCTTAACAAAAGCAAAATCTGCCACTGTTCATAACATTTGTACAAAAACTGATTAAAGTGTCTTTTTTTTTTCCTTAAACGATGCAAGTAATAAAAATGTTTTTTATGTGTAAGGTATATTTGTCTTACTTGCATTTAAGAATTAGTAACTATTTAAAGTTAATTCATTATTAAAAACTCTATTTTTATCATTTAAAAAGTCTTCTTAACATTGTGAAAATTCTGCTGATTTTTAAGTGTCATAGGTTGGCAAGTATGCATGTGTTTTGTAATTCATTCAACCCTGTAAAAGTGGTGGTCTGATGTTGTGCTAGAACTGATAGTATTACTGAAGTAATGTATGTGGGGATTTG